AAAGATATGTAACAAAAGCTAGTCTATAACATGATGAATATAATACTACACTTTTGTTAATAAATTGAGTAGCAGCAAAGATAATATACAATTATAAAGATATGTAACAAAAGCTAGTCTATAACATGATGAATATAATACTACACTTTTGTTAATAAATTGAGTAGCAGCAAAGATAATATACAATTATAAAGATATGTAGCAAAAGCTAGTCTATAATATGATGAATGTAATACTACACTTTTATTAATAAATTGAGTAATAGCAAAGATAATATACAATTATAAAGATATGTAACAAAAGCTAGTCTATAACATGATGAATATAATACTACACTTTTGTTAATAAATTGAGTAGCAGCAAAGATAATATACAATTATAAAGATATGTAACAAAAGCTAGTCTATAACATGATGAATATAATACTACACTTTTATTAACAAATTGAGTAATAGCAAAGATAATATACAATTAAAAAGATATTCAACTATATTCGTAGCTTGAAAAAGATTCAAGTTAAGATCAAAATGGCGGTCGTGTACGTACTGTCAGAGCTTCCCAGAAGATCCAAAGCGTTTCCAATAACGGGCAACGCTGGAGGACCGGGCAATTTTTCTCCTAGTTCGATCAAATGACGTCTAGAGATTCTGAAGTAGATGAGATATAAAACGACAGCGGGAATAAGAAGAGATAGGAAGACAGTGGTCGCCGAGAATCCGGAAGCCGCAGCAACCGATCCGGCAACTATTTCCGGTCCAGCTGCAGACATGGTTCGCTTTTTCTGAAAATGTCAAAATTTTAATTACGTTTTAATAATGTTATACTTCTTCCAGCTATGAAAATTATTATATTGATTCGAGCAATGAAATATTGAATTATCTGATTGAAATATTTTATTGTTTCGATTAGATGAAATGTTGTATTCAATATTGATTAAACATTAACTTGAATATCAAATATTAAACCGATTAAATTAAATCAACTATTAAATCGATTAAATTAAGTCAAATATTAAATTCAATATATATTGAACATTAACTCGAATATCAAATATCAAATCGATAAGATTAAATCAAAATGGAAATTATAAATTGAAAATTGAATATCGAATAGTTGGTTCGATAAGAATTTTTTATTTTCTGTCAATTGTATGAATTTATTTTATTAAATATCACGCGGTCACATCACTGGAACGTTTCACATCACTTCGAAGTTCAGAAGCAGAAAAGTCACATCGGTCTCCACGAACGTTTTAACCCTAACCATTACTCTCACCCAATTCACGTTATAGTAACCAGATCTAGTAGTACTAGTATGATCTCCCACCAGAAATGATCAAAGTAATTATAAAAATTATTTACCAATTCTAAATGAAAATATTGTAACTAATATAATCTGATTCAGTAATTTTGAATGCAATATGTGATGCACTTAACAAAACCCAATATTGCAAGTAAAAAATGCTACAATTAAAAGTCACTAAACACTTGACACTTTTACTTACAAAAGTACCAGACGCGGAAGAAAATTCTACCTAACAAAATTCGACTCGACGAGTATAAAAGTCTTCGACGAAATGAAATGTTCGATCCACTTCTCGGTCGATTTATGAACGAGGGTTATGAAGTAAGGTTGATGCTGATTCGATGATAAATAGAATTCGTCACCCACCTATGTACCTGTACCACTAACACGATCAGTTCTTCTCGATGAACCACCACCGAACTGGTTGACCAACTTTCGTCCGATCTCTTTTATAACCGGGCCTTTCTACGACCACCCCTACTTAAACGGAGGTTCGTCATACTAATTAATAGCTGCGACATGCATCTATTGGAATCGATAATTACCTTCTACGTACGTCACATTACTATACACAATCAAACTAGCCGAATTATTGTCATTTTGCTTCAGCTAAGCCACCTTCTAAAAGGCAGCTTTTAACATTTCTAAAAAGTTGTATAATTTTAATGCGATGAAGTTATTTTTATGTAATTGCGATTCAGATGGGTTCCATTAACCCTTGGATAGCGGAGTCGTATTTTTGCTGACTCGCTACGATTTAGAATTTAAGTTTCATTTAAAATTCTATTCTGTTTGCTATATTTCTGAGGTGCGTGTTTTTAACGGAAACTATTATGACTGTCTGATAATTATATACTTTGGGAGGATTTAATGGATTATTAGGCTCTTTTTAAATTAACGAAGTCTTCATTGGTACTGAGACTTCTTTTATGTTTTTAAGGTACTTAGATTCTTAAGGTACTTAGATTCTCAAGGTACTTGTATTCTCAAGGTACTTGTACTCTCAAGGTACTTAGATTCTTAAGGTACTTATGCTCTCAAGGTACTTAGATTCTCAAGGTATGTAGATTCTCAAGACACTTAGATTCTCAAGGTACTTATGTTCTCAAGATACTGAGATTCTCAAGGTACTTATGTTCTCAAGATACTTAGATTCTTAAGTTACTTAGATTCTCCAGATACTTATGTTCTCCAGATACTTATGTTCTCAAGATACTTAGATTCTCAAAGTACTTAGATTCTCAAGGTACTTGTTAGATTCTCAAAGTACACTTAGATTCTCAAAGTACTTACGTTCTCCAGATACTTAGATAGATTCCATCAAATTCTAGACTTTCTATAAGCTCTACATTACTGTAAAAATAAAAATACATTAAGTAAATCTTTTAAAATGTTCAAATAAGTAAAACTACACAAACTACAAGATAACATAATAACAAATATAAACAACTCCCTTCAACATTATTTCAGTTAACTCATATTTAAATCCCAACTTATAGACTTCTTCCTCCAGTACTCAAACTAGTAATATTCCAATGAATAACATATTTTTGTAACCTTTTTCATGGACCTTCTATAGGTTCTCCTTAACTCCTGATTTCCCTCAGGGTTCTACATATATTCTTACACTCCTCAGCTTATATTGATATCTAAAAATTTTCTGGTCTCTCTATAGTCTTTCTCTGGGTTATCCTTAAATTTTCTTGAAGCTCTCCTTGTCTTTACAATACTTGTTCAATATAAGGTTCCTTCACAGCGTAACACAACATGTAGTTAAAAATGTGATCAATTAGCTTTTTCATAATACAACCTCATACTTGTGCCATGATAGGAGAACCATAGTGAGACACACAGTGTAACAATAGTTAGAACCTAGAAAACATAATTGTCTAATAAAAAACAATTCTACATTGCATTTAATTATTACAAATAAATAATATACTAAGTAATATACTGATAATTAAAACCAAGTCTTAAACGATATAAAATTCACACTATTGTATAACGTTACGAATACATAAACGCATTTTATACCGAATAACAATGAATCCAACGTGTTTGCGCCAGAACGTAAAAAAAATTACAAGTCATCGAAAACGTTGTATTTCCGCCTTGATCCTCTACCTATCACTTGTCAGGTGGTTTCATTTCCATACAATGTATTTCGTGTTTTGCGTTCTCTTACGCGAAAATTATTCCAACTTTTACCTCGTAACATGTCCCCGAAACTTACGTGTTCTTACGACACGTCGTAAAATTCTCGAACACAAAAAATTCCGTTGTGACAATGAACTTTTCCGAAGAGTCGATTAAAATCGTTTCCTGCAAGAAAGTTATTCTGCGTCGAGTAATTGCTTCTGTTTACGCAATAAGAAATGTTTCTAATTTTTAACTGATTTCTTCGTTATCTAACCTTCTGGGTAATCTTATTCTATTCAGAGAATTATTTCGTTTAATTGATTCTTGGGAATTTTAGAAAAATGTTGTTGTTCGAGTTTATTATAGAATTACATAATAGTGAGAGATTTATTACTTGGCGAAATTTTTGAAAATGATGCACCTCATGTAGGAATACCCTTGAACAAAGCGATCCATATTTCCGTGCACGACATTTCTTGGGAATCAAGAGCTTATGTGCATTTATGCTTACAATAGCCGGATATCCAGGTCGATGCTCGATGACCCGACTTCATGACTCAATGACATGTGAAAACACGTTTTGCTAAAATGAAACTATGTTTATTTGCGTACACGCATTGGTCGCGTGTCGTCGATAATAAATATCATCGCAATTATTTTAAATTTTATTGTTCTATATAATACATATCCTTGTATGTACTTTAAATTCACATGTATGTAAATTCACATATATGTGAATTTATGTACTTTCATTCACGCTAAAGATTTTGTTGTTCACAATAAATAATGTTGTTCATAACAATAAAAGTAATAAATCAAGTCGACTTATTTTTACTATATATTTCATTATTATGTTACTATTATGTTACTAAAGATTTTGTTGCTCACAATAAATAATGTTGTTCATAACAATAAAAGTAGTAAATCAAGTCAACTTATTTTTAATACATATTTCACTATTATGTTCCTATTATATTACTACTTATATTTAGATTACTATTATGTTTTATTCTAATTAAAATGAAACCTAAGTCTCTTCTTAACTAGAATGAATAATCCAGAAAGAAATTTGTAGGTTTGATTTTTCGCTACAGTATCTAGTACAATAATTTTTATTCGAATTAAATTTGAGGTTAAAGCAAGTATAACGTATAACTTGTGAAGTTTACAAATTAGATTGCACAAGTTTAACAAGTTTAAATATTTAAACGTACGTTACACTTAACTTTACGTAACGACGGAACATTTCTTTCCATTAAGCATTTTATAACTTTTACGTGCATTTGTAATTTGTAAGCAACCAGTAAAAATAAAAACAACGTCCAACGAGTAGCAACCAGGAAGTTGTGCCAGTGATTATCTGCAACCACAAAGATGCATTAAAAAATAAAAAATATAGTGGTATGTAGTTATAGATGTTTTATTATTAAATTCTCAAAATGTGCAAGTCTCTACATTTTTAAATTTGTAAGATAAATATTAACAAATGATAAAAACAAATATTAAACATTTGCAGTCAAATGTTAATAAATGATGAGGCTTATAAATCAGGATATTTTACCTTAAATATATTTCCACATATATTTTGTAAGAAAATGTATCTCTATTCTCTTTTATTCTCTTTTGAGAATATATCTTTGCCTTTATATTTCATCCACCTGTTTCAGGATCTTATTTTTCCTTTCAGAGATAAAAAATTTTCCCTCCATTTATAATGCATTTTCCTATATTAATACTTACATTGAAATTGATATTCTCAGTCATTGGATATGTTAGATTGTGATATTACAGTAAATAATTACAGATACCTGTGTCTGTCAAATATTATGCATAATTTTATTTTGTTATTAATTACTTTTTAAAATAAGTTATTTCGCCTTACCTCCTATCATTTATTACGAGTATAATATTTAATTACAAGTTTTGCCAGCGTTCAAATGGAACATTCCTTCCGCTTGTACCGCGCATGCGCAGTCATCTTACCGTTACACTCGTTTTAAAAACACTACCGAGGCAAATATAAAATCTCCACAAACTTCATGAATTATGTTACCTTCATAAATTACCTGGTTAACAAATATAACATTGAATTGTACGTAAATATATACTGGACACAATACTGTCAAAATATAGTTTATTAAATACTTTAAAAATCCAGTGCACTGTAAATGAAATAAACGTACCGTTGCATTGCGCATCGCGACGCAGTTGCTTATCACTTTTCACCAGATGGCAGCATCTCGTGAAAACAGCAGCTGTTCAGCGATAACGGTTCGGTTCGTAATTAAACATATATATATTTTTAAATTATATCGTTCAAAATTTGCCAAAATATCGCGAACAGAATCGTGTAAAGAACCACATCGTCATTTCCGCAAATCATATTCGAAAACGAATTACCAATTGCGACGCGATTGAAATGCATCCCGTCAAACGAAGCATTTGAAAAACATATTGTTGTAAACAGTTTTGTGACAAACAAACTTCGTTGTGGAGATGCATCCTTGTTACCTAATATAAAACGAAAGTGACAAATTATTCTGGCGAACGTCGTCGCTTAAAGTGTTGACAAATACTTTGTGAGGTTATGTTTTTATCAAGTATAATATTTGTTAATTTGCGGTGAAAAACACGTGGAGGAAACGGACAGCTTCCGCGCATGTCACTAGAAAAACGCGCGATTAAAAATTGACTCTAATCAGAAAAGCACGATTTTCTTTCCGTTTGGACCAATGAAAAATCGTAAGTACTTTGGTTAATTGTCTCATAAGTAGTTGGTTATTGTACGCCCCTTATTATCTTCGTTATATAACAATGTTGCAATCCCTAATTAAACAACGAATTATCGTACAGGCGCGCTTAAAAGTTTTTCCTCTATAAAAGTACAAACGGTTAGACATTTTTTTTTATTAAATAGTTAACTTGTTAGAAGTCAATTTATTACTTTCAAGACAGTTTCTATTACAAATAAAAATACACGTGAATACGTAATTAAATCCGATCATGATATTTCGATCATCGCATAAACATAGCACACAAATATTTTCAGTATTAGTCGCAAATATATATTTGTACAAAATAAATTGTTCAGGTCACAAAAAATGTGATATTCGTGTAACGCTAGATAGATCCGTTCTTTTTAATTTTCTTCAGTTGCTTCTTTTTCTTCTGTTTCTTCTTCGAAATTCTGTGTCTACGATAATCATTGGAATCGTCGGAGGAAAAACTGTCGCATAAAGGAACAATTAATGGTTGTAATTGTACGTGCGATCGCGTTTGTGATTTTATTTGCGACTTCCCGATGTTCGAAGTTTTTCCAGTATTAGAACAAGTGGCGCCACTTTTTCGATGCTTTCTTTTCGAATCTATTTTGTTTTGCCGTGTTTGCGTTTTGGAGGGAATCTCCAGTGTAATCAGTTTCAGGGAATCAGTTTTAATCGTCAAGAAAGACGCTTTTCTACAATTGGTTTCTTCTGCTTTCGTATTTAGACTAACTAGCTTCTGCCATTTGTGACGAGATTTTTTCTTTTTTGATTTACGTTCGCTGTGTGGACGTTGATTCTCAATTTCCGGCCTGGTGTCCTCGAGTAGCACTTCTTTCGGTTTACATTTAACCTGCGCTTTTCTGATATTGTCGTCTATAGTAACGTATTCTAGAGATGGCGATTTTTTTGGATAAGATCTGGAACACAAATTGTACAAATTATCGAAGGAAATTCGAAAGCATAGGACGCCATATTTGTTGCATCCTAATTTGGCGGGAAATTTGAGTGCAAATACTTTTCAAATAAATATCAAAGTTATTATGTATTGTATTAGTGCTCGTAGTAATGTTAAATAATTATAAATAATTATAATTAAAGTTCAGTTAATTTATCATAACCAATTATAATTTATTCCTATGTCTACGAATAATAGCTTAACAAACTTAAGTAATATGTCGTTGTCAATTCTCTCCCGTGCCATATTAGAAATTCCCCAACTCAGTGGTTCCTTCGCAAACGTGTGCTCGATATTTTTTCCATTTTCTGCCACATTCAATGGAACTCCCATCCATATTTGTTGTCTCAACGAACTCAGTTTAATTTGTACCTCTTGGTTGAATTGCACGGGTGTACGATGTCTGAATGCTCTGTATCAACAAATCAAAATTAACAATTTTTATTACAAATCTTTAGTCAGAATGTACCTTATTAGATGAAGGCATTGCGATCGTTTATTCGTCTTTGGTTCTTTTTTATTCACACGCAAATTCTCGCCCAGTGAAACACTGCGGGGTCTTACTATTTCTGGCAAGATTAAACTGTCGGTAATTCTTTCCTTCTCAGTGCTTTCTGTTCCTACATCTTTGCAGCGTTCGCGACTTCTTGCTGAAGATTCTATATAATGATGGCAGTGAATTACAGAAATTTTATGCAGGTTATGAAGATTATAAAACTTTCTATGAAGACTATAAAAACTGTATATGCAGTTGATAAAAAATAGCTTGATATAAAGCAAAACAATTCCAAAGAAAAGACTTATATATAAAATATTTCTTGAGTGTTTTCTATGTATATTTTCACCATCACCTTCTGTTCTTGTTACACCTTCATCCGCCGAGTCTGTCAAATCACACAAATCACTGCCCGGATCCGTGGTAGGTAAATCCATGACTGCTCTTCCAGTCTAAACATCAAATCAACATTATCATTACTTTAGTAAAAACAATTTGGAATATTCAATTGGTACCACTTGATTTAATTGGTACCACTTGAAAATATTCAAGGTCATTACCAGCATTCTTTTGCGTCGAAGATAGCTTTTACTATTGCTTCCTTTTTTATTCCTTCTTTTCGCCGCTTCGAAGCTTTGTAGTGGAAGGAATGTGGGAGTCGGTGGTGGCGTGTTGCAGCTCCACTCTTCGATTAAAGTTTCTTCTTTTTCCGAGACAGAACTGTCCGATGTATCCCCTTCGTCGCTAATAAAAAAACAGAAACAATTAACACCATATGCATGAACATAACAACTATATTTATATGTTCATTATTATTAAGGAACACAGCCGTGTATACCTAGAGTAGTCGGTCAAGTCGATGTTCGTCGGCTCCTCAGCGCTAGATCCCTCTTTCATCAACCTGACAATTATCTTGCTCCGAAGTTTCTCCTTCATTCCATCTAAAAAGATCGTCATTAAATTCTACAATTCCAAACGACGACAGATTTTATCTTACCACAGATTGATCCGTTCAGAGGCGTTTCAAAGAGAAGGTAAAGATCAGATGATTTTAAAGAAAAGGTGAATATTAAGTGCATTACCTTAACGGGGTCTGGATCAAAGAAATCCAGCAGAGTTTCACAGAACACTCTACCGATTTGTTCGTAGTCTTGAGTGGAGAAGTGAGTGCCGGATCTGGATCCGATTTTTGAACCTCCCATGGAGGCCTCCATGGTGTAGCTGTACTGCGCCCCCATTGACCACATCACTACTCTTCCTGTACCTTCTTTTCCCTTTTCCATGTGGAACTTGCAGTTTTCAAAAGAGAACTGTGAAATTAGGTGGTGATTACATGGTTGTTAAATATCGTCACTTTGTAAAATTTTAATATACTTCAAATAAACTCATAAGAAATAAAAGACTTAACCCAGTTACTCAAAAATAGTTATTCTACCTTTACAAATTTGAGAGAATCTTATCACTGGTAATCATATGTTTAAGATAGAATAGACTCTCATTATATTGCCACGGTCAAAGTTATAAAACTAAATTCTTAAACTTGATAATATATGAGTTTGTTTAATAAGTTTTCTCCTCTGGTCTCCCATGTATACAATGGTGAGAAAGAGCCGTTCGCACATAAATTGCGGAGGTGGCAATATAAGAAGAGTCTATGGGAAAAGTTCGATATTGTGTTCACCTTATCGGCAGCGTTCTTATGAACCATCAAAGGAAACACCTGTTCCGAAAGCCTCGTCTGCGAACCAGTTCTCTTACTCTCGCAGCCATAAACGAATATATTGTGTTTCCTCGAGTGAGCGTGTAAATCGCAGTATATTGCTACCCCGCATTCTTCGAGTAACCGTCGGATCATTAATTTCGTATGCCAGACGGAAGGATAGCTCTCCCTCATGACCGTTCTGTATTGTCTATTCAGGTCTTTCCCCGACAACGAGCACCGATTGTTGCCCACGATCACGCCATCTGGATTCAGCATTGGCACCAGCTTGAACACGAATCTCTCTCGGAGTACCTGATCAACATTTTACAAATGTTTTCACTTATAATGATTATGCGATTAAAATCGTTTCTTGGAAGTAATTTTAACGTTAGCAGTAGGAGCTATGTGTTTGTCTTCTGACAAAACCAATTGTTTAGATAACTTGTAAGATTATGATGGTTTGAAAAGTTTCAAATAAGTTCATAAATTTTTAGGTGCTCAAACTTTTAAAATCTTTTCATTTTTAAGTTTGCAAAGCTGTAGTTTATAAACATCTAAGTCTGCAAATCTTTACGTCATGGATTTATAAATTTGCAAAGCTACGATTTGCTAATTCACATATTTGTAAAGTTACGATTCACAAATGTATAAATCTGCAAAGTTACAGGTCACAAATTTTCAAATCTGAAAATCTTCAATTCACAAATTTCCAACTCTGCAAATCTCCAGTCCTCAAATGTTCAGTTCTGTAAATCTCCACTCCTCAAATTTCCAAATCTGTAAATCTTCAGTTCATAAATTTCCAGGCTCTCAAAATTGCAAATTCTCAACTTCTCATAGCGTTGACGTAGCACCTAAAATATGTACCATCTGTAAGAACTTTTACTTAGTACCTATAATACATTCTACCTGCAGTAATCATCACTTAGCGTTCAATAATATATTCTACCAATAATAACCTTTGTTTAGCGTCAGTAACATATTCTACCAATAATAAGCTTCACGTAGCACCTATAATATGTTCTATCAATAATAACCTTCACGTAGCACCCACAACATGTTCTACCAATAATAACCGTAGCTTAGTACCCATAACATATTCTGTCAATAGTAACCTTCACTTAGTACCCATAATATATTCTACTAACAATAACCCTCACGTAGCATCTATAACATACTAATAATAACCTTCACGTAGCACCCATAACATACTAATAATAACCTTAATTTTGCACTTATAATCTATCCATCAATAATAATTTAGATCCATCTAAAATAAAGTAGATGTAGTATATATTTTACCATTTTTTCACATTATACAATCCTTACTAACAACCACCTACTTTACAGGCTATGGATAATATATTTGGAAAAATGCTTACCTTTGCCTGGTCCGATTCCCCGGTCAAAAAGTCGATGATCCCTTTCATCGTCCAACTCGACGGCGTTTCTCCAGGATGAACTCTCGCCGTGATTACTATACCTCTTTTCCTTCGCATCTCTTCATCGTACGTTGGGGCAGTGATCGTCAAATAATAGACACCATTCCCAGCCATTGTTCGACACAACAGTCTCAATTTCGTGAACCTCGTCTTCACCGGATCGGCAACGAGTTTGGCGAGATACTCCTAGTGATTTCATCGCAATTATCATCGTGAAAAATAATATTTTCCATCGTTACCTGTAAATCGGTGTAGGTGTAAGGATAACAATGCGCCAAGTAGACCGTGTCTCTGTCGTGAGGGAAGGAAACGTTAAATGTCAATGTATGCTTTTCTTTCTCTTCGTCGCTTCTGAAATAAGATGAATTAATGTAGATAGTTTATACAGAATAAATTAATAGAATGTCAACGTACGAATCGTTTCTGTAGTACGCGATATTGTCGCCGCATCTTCTCCAACCAACGGCACGTTGCTTTGCGTCCTCCGTCGAGTATAGTAATGGCCGTAGACCTTCGTTGTATAAACTTTCCTCTTTACAGAGATTCACTATTGATAGTCTGCAATTGTTTTTGAGAAAACTATGTAATTATATGTATTGATAGATTACGTAAGATGATGTGTTTCTATATATGTACTTAAAATTGAAGGTAGAAAATTGTTACTTTGTACAATGCGTGGCGATTTGATGCTGGATAGTGTAACTCGTAGGGATTTAACGAATGGCAGACGAACGTTTAGGAATTTAACACGTGTGATTTTAATGCGTGGTAATGGAATCTATAGAGATTTAATAGGTGGTAGAGTAACGCTTAGGAATGTAACACATAGGAATTTAATGCGTAGAGTTTAACACGTTGGAATCTAGTGTGTCAAAGTATGGAATCTAACGCGTAGATATCTAACGCGTAGTAATCGAACGCATAGGAAACTAATGCGTAGGAATCTAACACATGGAAAATTAGTGCGTGGCAATGGGATTCAACAAGTGGTAGAGTAATGCTTAGGAATTTAATGCGTAGGAGTTTAACGCATAGGAAACTAACGCGTAGGAATCTAACGCATGGAAAATTAATGCGTGGCAATGGAACCTATAGGGATTCAACAAGTGGTAGAGTAATGCTTAGGAATTTAATGCGTAGGAGTTTAACGCATAGGAAACTAACGCGTAGGAATCTAACGCATGGAAGTTTAATGCGTGGCAATGAAATCTATAGAGATTTAACGAGTGGTAGACTAACTCTTAAAAATTTAACCCATTGGAATCCAACGCGTTAGCATATCCAACGTCTAAGAATCTATCGCGCAGGAATTTAACGCGCAGGAATTTAGCGCACAGGGATTTAACACACTGGAATCTATCACATAGGGATCTAACACGTCACAATGAGACTTGTAATCTAACACATGCCATTTTTAAAAGCTCCTAACTTTCATACATCCGTACAATTGTTAATTTTTATAAAAAATACCCGCCTGTAAGTAGTTCTACTTCTCGTATTCGATATCCTGAAGTAATACCACTGCGTATGCCTCTGTGTATAAAGATCCTTCCTCAAATACAGCTGATAATACGTATCCGTGATTTTGACGACTTTGCAAAGATTTCCAGACTCGAAACGAGATTCAAAATGCAAGTCGGTGTTGCTGTCGGTGTCTGATGATCTTGTCACGAAGAACAGATTATTGTCAGTTTCCTTCGAGTCGTATCCGCTAGAGTCTGAATATTCTGATGAGAAAGGTAAAACCGTGCTCCCTCCTACACAGGATCTGCTGAACTAGAAAGTTTTTAATTAATTATTCGTTGCAGTTGTAGAAGCGATATGAGAAATTAAGTTTGACTAACGTAGTTGGTGATGCTCGTTGGGTGATAACGGAATACTACGGTTCCAAATTCATCCCCTAATGGCTTTGGTCGTGGTTCCTTTCCGGTTGGCGTGTAAAATGGTTCTGGAACGGTTGGAATGTACTCTATATGCTTCACTCTCTCTGGCAGTACCTGCAAATTTTGTAATTTTCGTACTTCTGTTTATAGACTTCCATACTTTTGAGTGTCTACTTTTTTCAAAATTTTGAGTGCAAATCAAAGCTAGAAATAATAACCAAATAACTTCGGGTCTATGTTACTGTAAACACTCTTCATATTCTTTTGATCGAATTGATTGAAAAAGTAGTAAAATAATTTGATGAATTAAAGACGTATCAATATTTGATTTAAGGCAACTAAAAACTTGATGATGAATAATTTTATTAACTTACTTGGCATTCTGTTGGCCATCTTGCAGCTTCCTGAGTGATTCCGTCAATCATACAACGAGAATCCAACAAGGTTCTAAGGGTCTCTTTTGATTGATCGTCTCTAGTACCGAGTGGTACCGAGAATAATGATAGTTCTGTCTCTCTTCGAGGTACATTGTAACGTCCTAGTTGCAGCAATTGCAGTTCTTGAAGTTTACTGAAATTTGCTAACGCGTTTCCTGGTAAATAATGTAAAACTATTAATTGTAACTAACAGTTCTATATTAACATTGCTTGGTAATTTTCTAACAATTTCCTAACAATATATTATTGCATACAAATTTCTAATATATTATTTCATGAAAATTTTTAGTAATTTTTTATCGAATGAATAAAACTTACCAGGAATCGGTTGAACCGGAAATAGCATGGCTTGTAATTCTTTGACTCTGCTACCAGTTAAAACGTCCGCCATTTTTCGTTATCTTCCTTCCGCCTCATCTTCATCTTCCTCTTTGTCGATCTCATCATTCTTCAATTTCTCGGTTTCTTTTTCAAGATGTTCAAGCTTACCTCGTCTTAAATTCGTGAGCCATAGAATTTTTTTATCCAGCGTGTATTTTGCAGAGGCGTTGTTCATTATTTTAATTCTTATCCTTCGATGTTTGTTCGAAAATCTTCAGTAGCCATTACTATCACTACACATGACAATATAAAATATGTTATATACGTTATATGGCCACTAGTTATATCGCTGTATGTCGTATGATTACACTTTGTATTACGGTGCGTTGCACGATCACGCGTTATATTGCTGTGCGTTGAATTACGATGTTTTGTATTACCTCGCGTTATATTGCCATGCGTTGAATTACGATGTACTGTGTTGCCTCGCGTTATATTGCCACGCGTTGAATTACGGTGCGTTGCGTTACGATATATTGTATTACCTCGCGTTATATTGCTGCGCGCCGAGTTTCGACGCGTTGCATTACCTCGCGCTATATTGCCACGCGTTATATTGCCACGCATTATATTGCCATGCGTTATATTGCCACGCATTGAATTACGGTGCATTGCGTTACGATATATTGTATTACCTCGCGTTATATTGCTACGCGCTGAGTTTCGACGTGTTGCATTATCTCGCGCTATATTGCCACGCGTTATATTGCCACGCGTTATATTGCCATGTGTTATATTGCCACGCATTGAATTACGGTGCATTGCGTTACGATATATTGTATTACCTCGCGTTATATTGCTACGCGCTGAGTTTCGACGTGTTGCATTACCTCGCTTTATATTGCCACGCGTTAAATTACGGTGCGTTTCGTTACGATACGTTGTATAACCACGCGTTGAATTACGACGTGTTGCATTACCTCGCGTTATATTGCCACGAGTTGAATTACGATGTACTGTGTTGCTTCGCGTTATATTGCCACGCGTTGAATTACGGTGTGTTGCGTTACGATACGTTGTATAACTACGCGTTATATTACTACGCGTTGAATTACGACGTGTTGCATTACCTCGCGTTATATTGCCACGCGTTGAATTACGATATGCTGTGTTGCGTCGCGTTATATTGCCACGCATTAAATCACGGTGCGTTGCGTTACGCCGTGTTGTATTACCTCGCGTTATATTGTCATACGTTGAATTACGATGCACTGTGTTACCTCGCGTTATATTGCCATGCATTGAATTACGTTGTTTTGTGTTATTGACGCTTTATATTTTTACGCGTTGCATTACGGAGCGTTTCCTTATTATTATTTGCCATACTTCAATGCATTATATATCTGTTTCTTATATCGCCACTCGTTCTATCGCAGTATATTATGTTACCACATATACTGCCACGCGTTGCATTATCAATAGTACCTAATGATTATTTAATAACCACGGACATATTAAATAAAAACTACTAGTATCCATGGCAATATAACGAGAGTCCCTTATATTCACAATGAGTACATATTCGAAATGTATTTTTTCGTAGTATACGACTGTTCGAAACTTACTGTTTTTCAAAGTATCTGCACAAAATTGAAATCTGATCGTGCTCGAGAAAGCGATGTAAACTGGTACACGTGATCCAAAAAGAGCAGAGGGATCACGCGATGAGTCCCGATTCCCTGGACGAATGTAGCACGCAAACTGTATCCAGGAACTTTGCCCTCGACGGAGAGAAATTCTGTGAAAGCTACCTCGTCGATCGTCCTGACAACGGTGAAACAGGGGCGGAGCCAGTTGCTTCATGATCGTTCGAAGCACCCTTTGTTCGCCGAGGTTCGTCGATCCAAACAGAGAACTTTCTTTATCGATCCCTTTTTTTCTCTTCTCAACTACTCGAAATTATAAGCAAAGTTACCGTTAGGAACTTTTCTGCTAACTTGAATGAGTCGAGATACGATCCATAGTAGTCAATTAATATGGATGAAAATATATTCCTTGATGAAAATTAATATTTGATCCGGCACATGTTTGGGTATTAAACATTTTATGTATGAAAATATTTTTTGGAAGAAAAAGTTAATATAGATGTGCCTATTTGATAGGAACATTAACATGGATAATGTTTTATGTCAAGATTCAACCATTATAGTGTCACCTTCAGATGACCTCGAAATGACCTCGAACTCAGAAATTTATATTTCAACGAATATGTTAATGTAGATAATTGTTTTATACTTATTATAGTTACCCCCAGGAGTTATTCAACAATCTATTTTTACTGTGACCTTGAGATGACCTTGGTATGACCTTGAAATGACCTTGAGTGACTTTGGAATGACCTTGAATTTGGAAATTAATATTTCTAATTTCTTATTGAACAATCTACTTTTACCGTGACCTTGAAATGACCTTGAAATGACCTTGTCATGACCTTAAATGACCTTGAATGACCTTAGAATGACCTTGAACTTGGAAATTTATATTTCTAATTTCTCATTGAACAATTTATTTTTACTGTGACCTTGAAATGACCTTGTTATGTCCTTGGTATCACCTTGAATGACCTTGGAATGACCTTGAATTTGGAAATTAATATTTCTAATTTCTTATTGAACAGTCTATGTTTACTGTGACCTTGAAATGACATTGTCATGACCTTGAATGACCTTGAATGACCTTAGCATGACTTTGAATTTGGAAATTTGTATTTCTAATTTCTCATTGAACAATTTATTTTTACTGTGACCTTGAAATGACCTTGTTATGTCCTTGGAATGACCTTGGAATGACCTTGATTTTGGAAATTTATATTTCTAATTTCTTACTGAGCAATCTATTTTTACTGTGACCTTGAAATGACATTGTTATGACCTTAAATGACCTTGGAATGACTTTGAATTTGGAAATTTAGGTTTCTAATTTCTTATTGAACAATTTATTTCTACTGTGGCCTTGAAATGACCTTGAAATGTCCTTGGTATGACCTTGAATGACCTTAGAATGACTTTGAATTTAGAAATTTGTATTTCTAATTTCTTATTGAACATCCTATTTTCAGTATGACCTTGAAATGACCTTAGTATGACCTTGAAATAACCTTGGTATAACCGTGAGTTTAGAAATTCGAGTTGCGTCAGTCAAAATATTGACACAGACAATAATTTTATAGCTATTATAATTAACGTCTAAACTAACTTAATAACCCATCATACTATGACCTTGTAATAATGTATCATACTATGACCTTGTAATAAGATTTAAGTTTTACGATCAGAAAAATTAATACCCAAAGAAGTTTCATATCTATCAGACCTGTTCGAAATAATAGATAAACAAAATATTCGTCAAACATTTTGCTATAATTTGTTCTCGCTACAAAATGGCCGTCAACCAGCCAACAACTAAGTATCATAAAAATGCACGTGTACACGTTTCGAGAGGCGCATCAATCTCGAAGATCTCAGAACCGCTCGTCACGAAACGTCTCCGATTAATCAAAGGAATTCTTTGGTAATTTCCTTGCAAGCTTTCATAGACATTCTTTCGCGTAGTCGCACGAACCCAAGCCAATTTACATCCCTTTCTACGGACGCTTCTGAAAATTATTGATCAATCAACGTTCGTCGGTCTGCTAGATGTACTGTTATTTCTTCGTGGAACATCCTTTCCTGTCGATCGATCAAGCCTCTTATTGATAGGTCGATAACTATCCGATACATCTTGCGAACGTAACTCGAATTTGTTTCTGTTTCAGATTGATAAGTCAGGTTATTTTCTCTGTTCGCGACAATTAATCAAAGATGGGACGTACGGTGACGGTAGCCGTTTGCACGTTGAACCAGTGGGCGATGGATTTCGATGGAAACGCACGAAGAATTTTGCAAAGTATTCAAGAAGCCAAGGACGCTGGCGCGACGTACAGAAGCGGACCTGAACTGGAGATTTGGTAAAATAATAACTCGATAAATTTATGCTTTTAGTGTCTTTATTCAGTAAAGTCTACATTTAGTTACATGTGGTTGGTGCTTAATTTGTGTTATACAAGGTGTTTCACTTATTTTGTTCATTTCAATGTGTCTGCGTTCACTTGAATTTTATGTATACCTTGATGACCTTGAAATTTCATTATGACCTTGAAATAGCATCATGACGGTGAAATATCATGATGACCTTGAAATATCATCATAAACTTCAAATATCGTCATGACCTTGAAATAACATTATAACCTTGAAATATCATCATGATCTTCAAATATCATCATGACTTTGAAATAACATTATAACCTTGAAATATCATCATAAACTTCAAATATCATCATGACCTTGAAATAACATAACCTTGAAATATCATCATGATCTTCAAATATCATTATAATCTTCAAATATCATCATGTCCTTAAAATATCATTATGTCCTTGAAATATCATCATATCCTTCAAATATCATGATGACCTTGAAATATCATGATGACCTTCAAATATCATCATGATCTTAAAATATCATGATGACCTTAAAATATCATCATGACCTTCAAATATCATCATGACATTAAAATATCATTATGACATTAAAATATCATTATGACCTTAAAACATCATCATGACCTTGAAATAATAACAACCTTGAAAACTTGATAAAAATTACCTCCAAGAAAGAAGATCATGAAGCAGTGTCATACATCTTCTTCAAAGCTAAATAACTTAGTCCTACCACATTATTTTGCATCAACAAAAGTGGCACAGTTAACTAAGTGAAACACCTTGATCACCTTTCTTCAAGGTTAAAGCTAAATCTCCCTGATCATTGTTCACAAAAAAAAATAAACAATTACAAATATATTGCATTCTTTAAAACAAAACTGATCAGAAAATACACTTTCAGGTACTTAACTCTCTAATTCTATTTTAAGTCCGCCATACATGCTGCAAATATTGTTATTATTTTTAATTATTAGCATTGAATATGCATTATTTAACATTGAAACAATTTACCATTAAAAATATTTATTTACTTAATTATTTAAATAATTAACAATTACTTAATTGATAGAGTAAAGCATGAATACTAATAGGTTAATTATGATTAACAGCGGATACGGCTGCGAAGACCATTTCTACGAGTCCGACACTCTGCTGCACAGCTGGGAGGTTCTCGCGATGATCATCAAATCACCGATCGTGAAAGACATGCTAATCGACGTTGGTATGCCGGTCATGCACAAGAATGTGACATACAACTGTCGAGTGTCCTTCCTGAACCGACGTATTCTGCTGATCAGACCCAAGATGCAGATGTGCGACGACGGCAATTACAGGGAATCGAGGTGGTTTTCGCCGTGGACCAAGGTTGTTCTATCAGATTGAACATGCGATGCATAGGATATTTTGACCTTCCGGGTAGTCTAATTTATTGTTGAACACTGCGCTGTATGGTCACGTATTAGGTCACTAAACTGTTAACCAAATTTGAGTACTATAATGTTAGTAAAAATTGAATATTTAAAGTATTTTGAAATCATAATTGTGTTATTTTCAGTATTGGAATATACAGATTTTTACAATTGTAGCCTCAATGCGTTATATTGTAACACTTCACATTTTAATATTTGTTATATTGCCACTTGCAAGTTCATTACTTGTTGTAGTGTCATGCGTTGAATCATTCAGTGTTGCATTACCACGCGTTGAAGAATTGTATATCGTATCACTGCGCGTTAAATCACTTTGCGTTGTATCGCTACGCGTTAAATTACTGTATGTACATTGTATCGACGCGTTAGATTACTATATGCTGTATCGCCATGCGTCGAGAAGTCTTGCGTTGTATTCCGTAATGTTGCACCGCCAATGCATTGTAGAGCCACGCATTGTATTTCTAAGTGTTGCGTCGCCAATGCATTGTAGAGCCACGCATTGTATTTCTAAGCGTTGCAATGTCAACGCATTGTAGAGCCACGCATTGTATTTCTAAGCATTGCATCCTCAATGCATTGTAGAGCCACGCATTGTATTTCTAAGCGTTGCACCGCCAATGCATTGTATTTCTAAGCATTGCATCTTCAACGCATTGTATTTCTAAGCATTGCATCCTCAACGCATTGTAAAGCCACGCATTGTATTTCTAAGCATTGCATCCTCAACGCATTGTAAAGCCACGCATTGTATTTCTAAGCATTGCATCCTCAACGCATTGTAAAGCCACGCATTGTATTTCTAAGCATTGCATCCTCAACGCATTGTAAAGCCACGCATTGTATTTCTAAGCATTGCATCCTCAACGCATTGTAAAGCCACGCATTGTATTTCTAAGCATTGCATCCTCAACGCATTGTAAAGCCACGCATTGTATTTCTAAGCATTGCATCCTCAACGCATTGTAAAGCCACGCATTGTATTTCTAAGCGTTGCATCCTCAATGCATTGTAGAACCACGCGTGGTATTTCTAAGCCTTGCGATGTCAATGCATTGTAGAGCCACGTATTGTATTTCTAAGCGTTGCACCGCCAATGCATTGTAGAGCCACGCATTGTATTTCTAAGCGTTGCACCGCCAATGCATTGTAGAGTCACGCATTGTATTTCTAAGCATTGCATTCTCAACGCATTGTAGTGCCACGCATTGTATTTCTAAGCACTGCATCCTCAACGCATTGTATAAACACGCATCGTATATCCAAGCGTTGCATCCTAAATGAATTCTAGAGCCACGCGTTGTATTTCCAAGCGTTGCATCGCTATGCGTTGTATGACCTTGTCACGCCATGTCGTAACGCATTAAGTCACCGAGCATCACGTGCGGTTTTATTGCAGGAACGCACAGTGGAGGATTATTTTCTTCCAAGAATGATCTCACAAATCACTGGTCAGACGGTGGTACCATTTGGCGATGCTGTTATTTCCACCAGAGACACGTGCGTTGGTTTTGAAATTTGCGAGGAACTGTGGAACCCAATGAGCAATCACATTCCAATGTGCTTGGATGGCGTTGAAATTATTGCAAATGGTAAATACGGAACTGTACTGCAAGGATAACAAGTTGGTATTCAGGGAAAATCCACGAAATGTCTAATGAAAGTCAGATACGAGGAAAAACCTACAAGGCCTATTTGTATATAATTAACCTAACTAGAGTTGAAGAATTATGTCAGCACCCTAAGAATCTAAAACGATATGACAGAAATGGTAGAAAAGTACCTTTTAGTTACATGCCATCTTGTTATCCTCACACATTACTTGAACCTCCGATTAATCTATGCTTCATATTTAAAGGTAGTGGCTCTTACTTCCAACTCCGGAAAGGATACGTCACCATCGACCTCGTGAAATCGGCCACCTTCAAGTCCGGTGGTTGTTACATGTTCAGCAACTTACGGGGTTGCGATGGTTCCAGAGTCTACTTCAACGGTGGATCCTCCATCACCCTGAACGGTCAGATACTAAATCGAGGCAAAGAGTTTGCCCTCAACGAAGTGTCAGTCACCGTCGCCACATTCGATTTGGAGGACATAAGGTTTGATAACATGACTCAACGTGAAAGTCTCAAGTCTCTCATGACTCAATCAGCTTGCATTCTAATTTACATGTACCACTGTTTCATTTAGGAGTTACAGAAACAGCATCAGGTCGCGTACTCATTTGGCCGCAAAGTCACCTAGTTATCCACGCGTCAAGGTAGACTTTGCTCTTACTTCTGAGAATCTGATCTCGACTCCTCCTGATCGACCGATAAACGTTGACGTTGGGCCTTATGAAAACGACAATATAACTGGGAAGATGGTTTATAGTCCTGAAGAAGAGATCGCGATGGCGCCTGCTTGCTGGCTGTGGGATTATCTCAGGTTTATCTAGATTGTTTGTTCTAGATTGTTTGTTCATTGTGAGCTTGGTATTTATTCGTTATTTCGTTTGCCAAAAGGCGTTCTTGTCAGGGTGGATTCTTCTTACCCTTGAGCGGTGGTGTGGACTCTGCGGCGTCTGCTTGCATGGTGTATTCCATGTGTACCATGATTGTGGAGTCAGTGAACGAAGGAGGTATGTTATTGCTTAGATATGATGTATTACATTGTGGTACTTAGGTTAGGTTAGGAACAGAAAATTCAGGAATATGACAGGTATAATAGACAAATACTACTTCAAAAGATTTGAAACAAATCCTATCTAGCTTACCTTTATAATCATCTAATAACATATAAAAAATATTCATATTTAGATGCTCAAGTGCTGTCAGACATCAGGAAGATAGTCGGCGATTGCGAATACGTACCCACTGATCCAAAACAGCTATGCAACACAATATTGGTAACCTGTTACATGGGCTCTGAGAATTCGTCCACCGAAACTAAGACAAGAGCTGCCGAACTCGCTAACCAGATCGGCTCCTACCACCACAGTATAGTCATCGACCTTGCAGTCTCCGCTATTCTAAATATCTTCCAGCAAGTCACCAAACTGACACCGAGATTTAAGGTACAAGGAGGATCTCCCAGGGAGAATTTAGCTCTGCAGAATATACAGGTATATATTTTAACTTTGACTGTCACATGTGATATTCGGACTTCCATAGAAATTATTTCATTTTTAAGGCACGGTTAAGAATGGTGATAGCGTATTTATTTGCCCAACTGATGCTGTGGGTCAGAGGACGGCCAGGTGGTTTGCTTGTACTAGGAAGTAGCAACGTTGATGAAGCGCTTCGAGGTTATTTCACCAAATATGATTGCAGCAGCGCCGACATCAACCCTATAGGTGGAATTGCAAAGAATGATTTAAAAGCATTCCTCAGTTACTTCAGGTAACTTATCTGTTTAGTTATCTATCTAACCGTCTATCTCCATTTTCTTCTCAGTTAGGTTCTAGTAGATATATAATTATTAAATTTATTTCAGGAGAAAACATGGAATCAGTGTGTTGGATAAAATCTTGGATGCCCCTCCAACTGCTGAACTAGAACCTTTACAAGCAGGACAATTGTCGCAGCTGGATGAAGTGGACATGGGTATGACGTACAAGGAACTTGGTATCTTTGGACGCTTGAGAAAGCAGGAATGTACTGGGCCTTTCTCCATGTTTTGCAAACTTGTTCATACGTGGGACAAATGTACTCCAAAAGAGGTAAATACTATGAAGTTTAAGTTGTTAATTTAACCAGTACATTATGAATGTCTTTAACTAAAGATTCTTTGCAGGTGGCTGACAAGGTGAAGCACTTCTATAGATGCTACGCGATAAATAGACACAAAATGACTATTCTCACGCCGTCCTGTCACGCGGAGACTTATAGTCCCGACGATAACAGATTCGATCATCGACCTTTCCTATATAATCATACGTGGAAGTGGCAGTTTAACGCGATCGACGAACAGGTTAGTCGACAGATATTTTATGATCACATTCTATAATTTGCAAAGTATATTTACAAAGTAAGTCATAAAGTTGTAGGAAAGAAAGTCTCATAAATGATTTGTAACAGGTGAAACTTCTCAACGAAGAAAAATCACCAGGAGGTCGAAAGGACGCGCCCAAGGTACCTGCTAAGTTCAGAAACACACCGCCCAGCTTCGTAATCAGTAGTGAGTAAAAAAAACAAAAAAAAAAAAATATCGCTGGTGAAGCCTCGATTCGTGGGCCAACAAAAGCGTTGCGAAATCGATCGTAAGAGAACGATTCCCCTGTGTGTATACCGAGTTAAACAGCGTTTGATGAAATCAACGAGTCGGAGTCGAGCAGGAGGCCGACACACGACCATCCACTATTTTGACCCACCGTGCATACCCGCTCGTCGCGTCTTTGCCGAGGAATCATCACACCGGCATCATTCTCTGTTGCAGATAAAACACATCCTGGAGTAGTAGTTTAACCGTAGCAGTAGCACTCTGTCTCTTATCATTTTGACATTGCAGCCCAGCGAGCACGCCAAAACTATGGAACGTTGCTAGCAGAACACCCGAGTGTACGCAGGATTCATTGTTCCGTCTCTTCCGCCAGATATTCTTTCCCAACGAAGCTCGGATTCCGCTTTGTCACGAAGAAACTCGTCACCGGAAGAATCGCATGACTCGTCGATTGTATTATATTAATGCAATTAATGAGCAATTGTAAAAGTATCGAAGATAAACGTATATTTATGCAGAGATTCTGGGTACAATTGACTCTCCGTACCATTGAATAGGTGATGGAAGAATAAGCGAGTCAGTAGAATATTAATTTTATTATTTTTTTCCATTTCTACATACACAGACAGCGCGTATCCGCATTTCATTACGGTCAGCATCAATTAATGACGATCGGGTTAACGATCAAGATCAATATTCTTTACGAAGGTTGACGCAAAGTTCCACGAATGCGATATACACAGTATCCAGTCGTTTGAAATACGCTTTTCTCTTTCACTCGTAACACATTCATCTACAGACATACACGGTGCACCTTGTCTTTCACGCAACAAGAAAAGTCGTTTCCGCAGACATTAATAACGTTGATATACATAATATGTTTCTTTGTATATTTCTATATATATATATATATATTTATTCATTTATTTATATATTAATAATAAAGTCAATAACCAAAACTATTAATCGAGCAGCAATAACGATATTCAATAATAATATAACATTAATTATTGCGATAGTACTAGAGGATGATAGAGTCTTGTCGCATCGAGGCGTTAACGTGAATAACTGTTGATGTAACATGATAGCAGGTATAAATGGAGATTTATATTAATAATGATGATAAGAATATCTAAGTGCTACTGTTTCAGACAATACTGGACGTAAATTAAATAATCATGATAGAAATAATAATATTAATAATAATATATAATATAATAATATTAGCAATAAAATATTCGTAACGAACAGATTGCGACGAGAAGTACCATTGTCCTTGAGTATTATCAAGGGAGACGCGAACATAGTATACATTATCGATATGTATAAAGGTACTGATATAATTATTCAAGGTTAAGACTCTGTTTCCCGCGCAATCCGCTATTAACATTTACTATGTACAATTTACCCAATGTTCATCGGAATAACGTCCACTTCAGTAATGGACAACTGGGTACAGGTGTGCATTCATTTTCTAGGTTAGAAATTTGAAAATCTTTCTACAGTTCCTAATACAAATTCCTAAATTTTCAGATCTTCAAATTTCCAATTCTCAAACTTTTATATAACCCAACTTCTAGATTAAATTGTCAGGTTTCTAAGTTTTTTAATTTTCAAATCTTCAAACTTTAAAGTTATAAGGTTTTCAAACACTTCAAATTCAAAATTTTTAAATTAAAAAATGAGAAATGTCCATGTCATGCACGCCTGTGCCCACGAGGACCATTACCGGTCTACTCAGTATGCTATAAAATTATTAAAATATCTCGTAAATACAATTATCAGCTACCTGAATACTATTTACACCGATCACGAGCTTATAAGAGGCTTAGCATACAACCGAGATGTTCATTTACGTTAACTATTCTGGACCTCCAAATTTTAGCTCGCTTCTTGTGGTAAACTCTGTCCAAAAATATATCCACAAAATGATATATCCTTGTATACAATATCCATGCAATTCTACAATAAACCGAGAATACTATTCGTAAGAGCATCGTGTCGATTCGTGCACTCTGTTTCAGCACCCGTCAATAACCAAAACTATTAATCGAGCAGCAATAACGATATTCAATAATAATATAACATTAATTATTGCGATAGTACTAGAGGATGATAGAGTCTTGTCGCATCGAGGCGTTAACGTGAATAACTGTTGATGTAACATGATAGCAGGTATAAATGGAGATTTATATTAATAATGATGATAAGAATATCTAAGTGCTACTGTTTCAGACAATACTGGACGTAAATTAAATAATCATGATAGAAATAATAATATTAATAATAATATATAATATAATAATATTAGCAATAAAATATTCGTAACGAACAGATTGCGACGAGAAGTACCATTGTCCTTGAGTATTATCAAGGGAGACGCGAACATAGTATACATTATCGATATGTATAAAGGTACTGATATAATTATTCAAGGTTAAGACTCTGTTTCCCGCGCAATCCGCTATTAACATTTACTATGTACAATTTACCCAATGTTCATCGGAATAACGTCCACTTCAGTAATGGACAACTGGGTACAGGTGTGCATTCATTTTCTAGGTTAGAAATTTGAAAATCTTTCTACAGTTCCTAATACAAATTCCTAAATTTTCAGATCTTCAAATTTCCAATTCTCAAACTTTTATATAACCCAACTTCTAGATTAAATTGTCAGGTTTCTAAGTTTTTTAATTTTCAAATCTTCAAACTTTAAAGTTATAAGGTTTTCAAACACTTCAAATTCAAAATTTTTAAATTAAAAAATGAGAAATGTCCATGTCATGCACGCCTGTGCCCACGAGGACCATTACCGGTCTACTCAGTATGCTATAAAATTATTAAAATATCTCGTAAATACAATTATCAGCTACCTGAATACTATTTACACCGATCACGAGCTTATAAGAGGCTTAGCATACAACCGAGATGTTCATTTACGTTAACTATTCTGGACCTCCAAATTTTAGCTCGCTTCTTGTGGTAAACTCTGTCCAAAAATATATCCACAAAATGATATATCCTTGTATACAATATCCATGCAATTCTACAATAAACCGAGAATACTATTCGTAAGAGCATCGTGTCGATTCGTGCACTCTGTTTCAGCACCCTATTTGCCCCTGCAAAAGTATACATATATACCCGTTTCGCGGACCATAACTCGGCCATGTGTCGCCATCTTCTCTACGTATCTAACTGGGATTCAATTCACTCGCGAAATTGCAAGTCGTCCTCACAACGAAGACTCGAACCACTTTCTCGACGATAAAGTCGAATCGAGGTTCATTATTACTGTATGTGCACCCCATGTGTTACCCGAATAAACATATGTCCTACCACCGTAGAATTGCACGAAACCCCATTTGTATGTGTTTGTGTTTGTGTATGCAAATGTGTATGTGTGTAGATGTGTTAAGAACATAGACCTCTGGATAAGGACTGCCACAATTTTCCTTGGATTCTAAGAAAATTAAAAAACTGAGGATGTAAGGAAATATTCTAGAAAGGAAAATCTTGGAGCAATTAGCGAAAGGTTCTACAGAGGATCTACAGAACTTCTAGAATAATTTTAAGGAAAATTATAGAAAAAGAAATATAGATATTCCTCTTATTATGCTTTTTAAGCGAAGCCCACTTTGCATGCGATTGTAAAATATGTACTAAAAGTAACTAAACACCTATGGTTCATAGCGAGAAGCATTTATCTTAAATAAAATATTTATCTTCACAAATAGAATAGAGGTAAAAGATCTCATTAATGGACACATAGAAATATAATCGTTTAGCATTCATTTTGTTACCAACATATACAGATCTTTTATAAAATAACATTTGATAATTTTTTAATTTCAGTTGCTTGAACATATTTAAATAGTTACAATGTTATAATAATATCACATTATTTGGGAGAGTTCACTAAATAGCTTGATTAAATAATTTAAATAAAATGATTGTATAAAACATTTCTAAAGTTGCAATTTATAGTTTTTGTTTGAAGGATACCTTATTCAAGGAAGCTTGTATATTTGAGAACATATAGTTTGTTTTTAAATTCATCGAGCAAAGGTTACATAAAAGTATATTATAAATTCTTGTTGAATTTATTTGTACAACTGTCACTAGCTTTAAAAAAATCATCTGGTAAAAGAACCTTGTTTGTTATGAATAGATTAATTAATAAAAGTTTTGTTAGCATAGTTATGTATCTTATCTCATGCAGTAAAGTAGAAGCATAATTTGTTCAGCAAAGATAAATATTTACATCAATATAAATGCATTTGTTGCAAACTGCAGGTGTTACTTTTAGAACTCACTGTACATAGCAGTCTATTTCCTAACTACATAAAAAAGAAGACAAATTGAAACTCATTTTTACAAATTTTCTAATTACGAAATTTAGAAAACGCCGTGTGGAATGTGTAAATGTGTATGTGTGTGTGTGTGTGTCGTATCTCACTCCACTATGTGCGTAACCCCATCTGAAAGAACCAAGGTGCAATAAGCGAAATCTTGTGCGCGCAGGAGTGAGTAAAAAATCGTGTCTTATCATATCACAGATTTCCCAAGGTGCGTATCGATAGGTGTTTAATAATTACTTAATTAAAAAGAAAAACAAAAGAAGAGAATTCTTTTCGTTTCCTCGAACGCGTCAGTCAACGAGGAACGCTACGATCGAACGGATACAGTTACCTCGAACGATACACAATCGCGATTTCGATATCGTTATTTCGACGTAACAGATTTCTAGAAGCACTCGACGTCTCCCCGGGCGTCGGGTGCTTCGCCGTGATCGTTTCACCCTCTAAGTCGGAAAGCAACGTAACTTGCCGTGCATCGTCTGAAGATAAAGAAAAATCGTTCCAAAATAAAAGCAAACTTCGTTCTCCCGTCTCGAGCAAGGTAGACGGTCATTCCTGAAACGTTCGATCCGAGTCTTCGGGTGTAATTTCGCGACTCTTCGTAAACGCTAAAATAGCAAATAGTCTAAAATGTACATTATACGAGTTACCTACGGTCGGTAAGAATTTGCGCGCGAAAATGTCGCGCACTCGATAGCGCAATACTGTGTATACAAAAGTCCAGTGTTTTCGTCTACGTTCACTCCGGAGGGGAATCCAGAAAATCCTGCCGATCCTCGGGAATTCCTGCTGGGAATTTCTCGGTAATCCGATCGTCATCGGCCTTGGGTGCCGTCCTGTGTCACCGCTAATGTGGCGCCACCTGCAGGTACTTTTCGCGCGACGTTTAACTCCGGGATCCGTTCGCTTCTTCGTGTCTCTTCTTCGTCCTGGGTCTCTTCAGAAGCTGGACGCCCGACCCAAATGCAATAACGTCGTGGCGCGTTGAAGAGGCGCTTCGAGGCTCTTCGAGGCAGACTTTACGCAGCTGTCCGTATTCCGCAAGTCCCGTTGCAACAGGCCACCCTGAAGAGTTACATTGACCAAGAACAATTTCGTGTTCTTGCATCTGTTATGTTTTTTTTTTTTTAATTGTTCTCTGCTCGTTTCTCTTCGTACAT